GAGTGTGTGCTTTGCATAGGGTTTCGTTCACTGAGCGAGAGCGGGACATCGAGTCAGACTGCTGCTGTCTTCGACATCGCCTCGTGGGGAATCGGTTGCGTCGTGAACGACCTTCGACGGTGGTGATGTAGTAGTTTTTGGCAGAGTCTTAGCTTCAGCTTGTCGGCAGTCGCAAATTTTCGCTAGTGCTCTTTCATCGGCTGGATCTTGCAAGAAAGAGAAAGCACGTTCCGCCGCCAAATGCTTAGCAATGGAGGAACTGGTAGAGACGATCGGTCCTGCAAGCACAATTCCGTGAAGATGTGCTTCTATTCCTTCCCAACCATCGCGGGTTCCACGACTGCGTTTCGAATTAGTCAGGGACAATCATGCCACAGCCATGAAAGCGAAACCTACCGGAAACCGACTTTTTGAAGACATTTGTTCCCTGATACCCACTCGTGCAGGATGGACACGGGATCTCGACAAACAGACGGTGACAACAGCTCCAGAAGATCACCCATGAGGTCTTCCACCACAACTGCGGTCCTCTCGTAGTTGTACTCGGAATCAACGAGTACAGCTCCTACGACGCTTTCAAAGACGTCGCTGAGTGCCTTTGGAGGGTCGTACCTCCACCCATCCCTGACGATAATCTCCGCGGTAGCGAGCTGCAAAGCTGGGACATATTGTGAGATGGCCACACTGAGCTCCGTATTATTCACCAGCATCAGCTTGTGTACGTTAAGGCGCCGGACGGCTAGGGAAGCGAGCGCAGGCGAACAGATGGCTTTTGTGCGCGGCAGAGCAAGTTGATGGGAGTTGGCATCAGGAAACTTTTTGTAAAGATAGTGGATTACCACCAGGTCAAGAATAGCTGACCGCGTTCACGTTGAGTCATGAGAATGGAACACGAGGAAGCGTACTGAGCTCACCATCACCGAGGAACTCCAATCGTTGGTAGGTTCCTGTATCTGCGTAGGAAGAGAAAGACGGGTGCGTCACTGCCTCTTTCAAGATCTTGCCATTGCGGAATCTGTACCCCAGAGTCTCCTCCAAGTCGGCGAACATGGGGGGAACTGGGTCTTCTGATGTTTCGTAGCGCAGTCGCCACGGTGTTACGCCACCAAAGTTGAGACCAAGGGACACTCCGGTGTGTAAGGCCATGGATATACCGCCCGTGACAAAAGACGCTCCGAGAATGGCCTCCATACAGTCTTGGAGGCTCCTCCGAGGAATCTTTCGCTTGACAACGCGTCCTCCCCGTACCTCCCGAGCTGTGTCCTCTTCCACATATCTCCACCCCCTATTATGTTTGTGCAACTCCGCCGATATAAATCGCTCAAGTCCTATATCCAACGCCCTCAGACACAAGAATTTGTTGCCGATATACTTCTGCCTCAACGAGCTCAACTGTCCCTCGTGCTTGTGAGGGAACTTATTTAGAAGGTGAACAGTCGTGCACAGCTCCAGAACAGCGTCTCCGAGGGTTTCCAATCGTTGGTTGTTGAACGTCCCACTCGCAACAGGGATCGTGAGGGCCTGGATCAAGACATCGTCCTGAATGGGAGGAAGACTCAACGCGAACCGGGCTTCGCGTGCGCGATAAACGTCCGTCAACCGCTGACAGAGAACAGGAAAGGCTTTGTAGGCTAACGCCATGGATGGGGAGATGTCAAGCCAGGCACAGCACCTTTGAGGCATCACCTGTATCTCGAGTTCTCCGGGTGCATGAGGTCCAGAGTCTGTCCCAACGCTGTCAAGTTTGTAGGATCCCGCCGTGGAAAACGCAACCCTCGATACCTCAATCATGGGTCCCTCGGTTGGAACGAAAGGCGTCCAGCCAGCCCTATTATTCCTCCGAGTCCATCGGTTCGTATAGTAGTCGTGATAAGTTGGAGAACCCACTTCAGCTTCTCTGCTTTCTGGAACTGGCGTGGACATGGGTGTGAGATCTTCTCGAATATTATGGAGTAACAGGGTACGACCCTGCTGGTTGAAGTTGCGGAGGAGCAGCTTTCCGTACGAGCTGTCATTTACACCAGTCCAATCGAGATGTCCCTTCGGAGACGAAAGCAGTCGTCTGATCGCGTGGAAGTCCGGGGTCAGTGATGTCGTCAGAGGTACCAGGTACACATTGGGAGGACCTTCCAGCTCCGCGCCACTGATTTGGATAGAGAGCGACAATCTCGTATACTCCTCCATGTCCTTGCGATAATGAACATCCTCTTCATCTTCGATATCGTCATCAGTTTCCTCGTCAACTTGCACAGGACATGGAGCTCCCACTTCAAACTCGACATTGACGCCCCCAACGAAGACCTTCGAAGGAGGCAAACGTGTCCCAGTGACCAACCCAGCTAGGAGGGCACCCCCAGAATACACCGGATGGATCCAAAGCCTCTCGCCTATCATCCACGGGTCTCGAGTTAGAACGTCTAACATAACGCGAATCTTTTTCCCGCCTCCACTCGTGCGAAGGATCGCAGCTAAGACATGGTCGTCCGAATCCTTAGAGTCCTGAGATGATACAGGGAGCAGGTACTCGTCGAATACCTCGAGTTCGTAAAGTCGCTTGACGGCGATGAATGCGACGGCTCTCTTTGCCTCCTTCTTCGAGTGTTTCACAGGACCTTCGTAAGAGAGGTCTCCGGGAGTCAGCGGTAGACTCGGGGGGAGGTCGAGGGTAGCCTGAAAGTCGCCTGTATAGACCGGGGCGTGTGGTGGCGTGTATAGATCGTGTGGAATGAGCGAGCACAGATGCTCAATCAGGGTGATCGAGTTGTCATAGTTTACGAATGCCGAGGTCGAGGGTACGACAAACCGTTCTCGCTCGGCAAGATCGACAGGATCCACGACATCGAATTCATCAGTATCTGCCTCGACTGGACCGGGCTGATGAAAGGTGCTGTATATGTTCCTCAACTCTGACTCTGCGGAGGTGAAGGCGTGGTACCGAGACAAGGAAACGGAGTCGCCTTCTGGGAGCATGATGATGAATTTTGAGATTTTGTTACGAGCTCGACCTCGGGATTGGATATATCCCACCATGTGTTGAAGGGGATCGAAACGAATGACGAGATCGCATGCCTTGTAGATCGAATGTCAGAGAACAGAAGAATAATGATGTAGGCAATATCACACGAACGGGGAAATCAAGGCCCTCCTCAGCTACAGATGTTGCGATCACTAGAACAGAGCCAGATGTCAGATTAGCCAAGGGAGGAGTGGCTTAAACCTACAGAGGTTGAGAACTCCGTCTCGAAAGAGTTTCAGCGTGTCGGCAGGAGGATTGCCAGTGCCAGACGCTGGATTGTTCTTCGTCATATCGTTTCTGTCAGAGTTGTTCCCTACAACCTCGCCGCATTGCAGCAGCCCTTCTAGTCCTATAACATGCGGTAAAACCTTGGCTAGGCAGGCTGCGACCTGCCGTTGGTCCACGAAAATGATCCCTTGAAAGGTGGACGAGTAGTGTGCAGCCAGCACGTCGACCAGGACCTTGACTTTGGGAGTTACCCAAGATATGGGGACCGTGAGTGGGAGCGAAGGGGAACTGTCGAGGGACGTAAAAAATCCTTCGTATTCCAATAGGATGTCGATCATCTCCAACAGGTCGAGAGGAATCTCTTGGTCAACGGGAGCGCGTTGTACGATCAGGTCCGGGTCGATGTCTTTACGAGACTCCAGTTGCCCTAAGGCAAGAATGGCGCGTTTGACCTCTGAGAACAGGTAAAGAGAAGCGCAATAAGGACCCAAGCTCTCTCTCGTGACATAATATCGACGTTCTATGTCGACCCAGATATCGGAGATGACTTTGATGGTGGTGGGATCGAAAACGTTGAGACAATCGAACAACGAAGGCTCCGGAAAATCGTACGTTTCAGGAGGCAGCGTATACTCCTTAATGACCTGTCAATAATTAATGAACAGTGTCAGTCGCCTCTACGTGAGCTCGATAGGGAAGATCGATTCACCTCGATTGGCTTTGGAGTGTGCTTTGTGAGTTCGGCAACGTTATCGAGGACCCCAATAACACGGGCGTTCATGTTCATCTGTAATTCATTGAGCGAATCGATCGGATTCTTCGCGTTCTGGATGGGGGATGCGGTCAATCCGAAAACCTTGGGTCGTTCCTCTTCCGGGACGAGCATGTACTCGCGCATGATTCCGTTGTAAGGATGGTTCTTGCGTGTGTGATGACATTCGTCGAATACCAGCAGGGAAACCTAAGATTGAGGTGAATGAGGGTAATGCCGAAATGATAAGAACGACAAACTTTGTTGATGGACCATAGGGAGTGCGTGATCAGATTTAGAAATATCTGTGCTGAAGAGTGGATCAACAAAGCTTCAATGGGAGCTGACATTCAGGACACACCAGTCATCACAAGCACATCGTTCTTTGCGAAGGTTTTCTCCCATCCCTTCCGGTTTGTGAGCTCGTGAGCAGATTCTCCGTGAAGTTTGGCTACGCGCAAAGTTGTGTGTTTCGCGATGAATTCTCCCTGCTGTTCGACCAGAGGTACTTTCGGAACAAGGAACACGACGGCTCGACCTCGAGAAATCTCTTGTGTCGCAATCCATTTGATGAGAAGGGTACTGATGTATGTTTTCCCACTTCCAGTTCCCAATGCTGCGATGACATTTTCTCGTTGAGCTTGCACGAAAATTTCTTCCTGATACTGCCTGGGAACGAGCTCTGCCGAAGCCATGGTTGACACTCAGTGCAGCTGAGGTTGTGAACACGAGGCCATTAAAAAAGGAACGGTGAGTCAGCTAGCCAGCCAGAGAGGTTTCGGATTCGAGGCGTGATTGACTGTGATTGATGGAAATGGTTCTCTCTCCGGTTCCGCTGGCGTCCAGTAGAAGCATGGTGCAGTGACCGGAATACGGACACTTAGTGTCGCCGACAGAATGAACTAGGAACATGCAGCCTCTGGCAAGCCGTGTTCGAAGTGCAAGCTAAAGATTGTGCGGGCGCCAAGTCAATTGACGGGGTGAAAATATTACGTTGCAAAATGAAGTGCCCGCCGTGGGTCGAACACGGGGCTTCAAGATGATACAAGCACGCCCGAAGACTCGTTGCAATCTCACACTCTACCACTGAGTTACGGGCACTTGTTAGCTGAGCAAACCTCAAAATATATAATTCTAACGGTTATCGTTTATGTACCTTCCATTCGGAGATCGAGTACAGCTGCCTCTTTGGAAGCCCAGAAATTTGGAGGCGCCCCTCTGATGTTCATACATATAAATAGCGAATTCGTACTATTTCTGTGTTCGTCCTGGGATTCAAACTTCGAAGGAACCAGTCATCAATCCAAATGATGTGGCTGAGTGATATCAATAACTTGGGCTTTGCGGCTGATTGACCCCTTCGCGCACGGCCTTCTCAGCACGAGAGAGAAGTAATGAACCAGATTAGTGAGGGACTCACTGTAATCGAATTGCCGTCTTCCAAATCCGTCGAATGTCGACTCGCCTTAATCGCGACATCCAATGAATGTGCATCATCGACTGTTTTCGTTTGTTCGGAAGTAACATTTACTCTCGCTCCGAGGCGATGCGGGAAACAATTCTCCTGTGGCAACATGATGTCGAGTGACAACAAAAGGGAGTGGGAGACTCACGTCTGCAGCGGGAGACAACTCGACTACTTCAGTCATTTCATGCATCGCTCGCAGCTTGATTCGTCCGTTGAGGCTAAAGTTTGATTGATTAGTCCATTTATCCACAGGTTTTATGGGCACTCACTTCGCGAGGAATGAATTAGAGAACACTGAGAAGAGGATACGATGAGCGACTGTTTCGAGGGCGGTGGAAAAGGTTTACTTTTGGGTAAGTTCATGTAAACCGACATCCACGCGACTAGTGCACGATCATCAGTCAACGACTGATGATGATGAAGGCGAATCAGCGACTAACAGCTGCCAGGCAACGCTTTGAACTATAATAGACGAGACGTTAGCGGTTATTCTTCATGGCAGTCTCCGAACATCATAAACTCACGAAAATCAAAATCAGAACCGCGAAAAGACTGAAAGTATATCCTGAGGATCAGAGGTGAACCATATACGATCGTCGATAAGCATACCCAGTCAATAAGCCGGTTTCTGGAAGGCGATCAGAGCCATACAAAGAAACAGTGAGCGTTAACGAACCGATTGTCCAAATGATCAGTTTGTCGACGATGGCCAGAGTCCTGCAGGAAACATGAGTTGAGCGTGCTGTTCCTAGAGACTGGGCGGCCGGAAACCCACGCGTCATGCGCTGACGACCTCGATCTAGCCAAGTAGTATACCAGAACGCAGGGAATCGCGAGGTCCGTGAAGGCACCGACCGATAGTATGCAGATCAGGTCCCACCCCCAGTCATTGGTGAACTGTGGCAAAGAGGTCATCATAACCGCCGCCACAGTGGCTGCCGCCGTCCCAATGAATCGAATACCGAGCAGCGCGATGCACAGAGCTGCGATGTACCACGTTTGAGAGAACTGGTAGATCCGTGTGGTATAGTAGCCTTGCACTGTTGATCAGGAGCGTCAAATGTTTAATCAGTTTCAGAAAGCTTTTTGGATGACTCACCGAGTACAAACACGACCTCGGATATGATGAGATTCAAGGCGATTGACAAGGGGACTTTCATATCCGGGACGTCGTTATTTCCGAAATTTAGCACGGTGTAAGCATAGAGCGCGTGAAGGGCGGAAATAGAATGTCCGAGTTCAAGTAACCTGAATCAGCGGCTTGAGCTTGATAGGCTAACAATCATCAAGACGGTGGAAATACCAAGTAATCCCCACCTATCAAAGAGGTTGTTAAAAGTGGACTGTACGTACAATGCGAGAGCAACTGACCACGTATTTCAGCCATTTTGGATCGTGCGGGAACAGCTGGTAGTACAGATAGGTCTGCGCTGTGGTAACTCCAAACAAGAATGTGGAGGATACGATCCCGATCTCGAGAGCCCCTTTGGAATGATATATCAGCCTAAAAGTTCAAAGCGGGAAGATGAAGGAACAATTCAGATACCTATCTGTCCGTGAAATGGCATGGTATAGTTCGTCTATGAGGGATGAAGCAGGGTTGTGAGAACGAACTATAGGCTCTTGGCGTTTGAATGCCGATTGAGTTATATAGAACCTGAGCTCATGGATCGGAGTGAGAGGATTGAGGCAATTTATGGTAGTCCCAATTATAGCCTGCACGAAATCTGACCTCGAACAGTTTGCGGGCGAAAGTAGGTGGAGTGCGAGGTTAGAGAGGACCATCAGCATCATCACCGCTCCCACTCGGCGTTCAGTTGGTACTGTTTGATGAACTGATATGTGCAAAGATCAGGATTTACACTGGTACACGCATTGGCGTTCAAAAAATTGCTGGTGTGTGTACGGAAAGGGCATCGCGTAAAGCGAGAATCTCCTTGTAGAGTGAATCGCATACCCCAGATATCCAAGAAATGTACTAGGAACGGGGTCGTATCATTCATCGACACTTCCCTGACACGAGGAGGAAGAACACACCTGGAGTCCGATTCAGGATCATGAGAAACTCGACCAGAATAGACGCGATCCAATTATACCACTCATCCTCGCACTGCGACCGTCCCTCTTGATTGGGTCCGGAATACTGGATTTCTTGATATATGGATTTCGAAGAGGTCGTGTTTGCCACTGTAAATTAGATGCTGTGATTTGAGACAATGGCCTGCCAGTAAGACCCATACATCAGCCGGCTGGGGGCCCATCCTTGGGATGTTGTTGTAGCGGAAAGCACCCGATAATGTCATCTGGCATCCACCAGCACTCCAGTAAGAGGGCCAAACCTGAAAGTGATGGTTGCAGTGCAGTTCTGAGCTGAAAGCTACAAGCGGAGCCGGCCCGGTTATCTTCTTGGACCAACTTTCTCACGTGGACTAACTCTGGCATTTGCATTCATTGTCAACCAACTTGAACGCGTCAAGGCAACCGCCTGAGCCCTATCTGGGCCTCTGGCACGTTCGACATGGCCTCACCTAGGAGTGACGAGATTTTACCTGTGAACATCTGAACCTCTCTGTATCTCGAAGTATTTCACGCTCACCTTTGCTCACCTCGCCTCAGGTTCTTAAAGCCTCTGTCCACGACGTTCGACAATTCACCTCTTTATTGAGGGGGGTCAACTTTGCCAATGTCTAGTCTCTCCCCGATACTTTTGACGAGCACAGCTGACATCACATCAAGCGAGCTACAGTGACCGTCACGGAACGCGGATTGGTAGTCGCGGTCGAGGAGGCTCGGACTCTACTAGGTGATGTTCTGAGTCTTAGCCAGACTAACGCGTCTATTCTTACCTTATCTCGCGTTTAGGGACTGCATATATCTTCTCCGATGTTTTCGATGAATATCAATATCACTCAGAATCCCAGGAGGAGCAACAGGAAGAGCAAGATGTTTACAATTCCGCATTCGAGATTCAATTGAACACTCTCATAGAGTGTCTGAACATTTTTGGCACAGCCGGTGGCTCGGGCTCCTCAGGTAGCGGGAAACATGTTCAGTGGAAGCAATCGAATGAGGAGCAAGGAAGCAGCGATGACGAGGACGGAAATGATGGAGGCCACGGCGTCGAGGGAAAACGGAGGAATAAGAAAGGTGCACAGGGTGGCAACACATCGTTAGATCTTTTCTTCAGCAAGTCGGAACGGAAAACCAGCATGCGAATGACTTATTTGGGGAATGGATTCCCTTTGACTCTGCTCATGTGCGTTGTTTCTCGATCATGGAGTGATTTCCTCCTACAGCATGACGCAGTGCTGAAGACTCTTCGGGCCCAACAACGACATGCGAGATCGCAACATTTGAAGCAGAACCACAATTAGAACTTCCCTTCGATCCGGACGATATGTGAGGGCTCACGATACTCCGGATGAACCATCACTGAATGCTGTTCGTAGGAAACTGAAGGTTATATTGAAGGTATGTCAGCTCCACCGACCTGTGAAATGAGATTTTGATTCTTCGGCTGCAGTCATCCTGGTTGAAAGAGGCACTGTCAGAGATAGATTCTTCTTGCGACAAGTTGACGTTCATCGGTAATCCCCCGGAACAGGCTCACGCAGAAAGGGTATCGGGGAGGGAAAAAGAAAGAGGGAGGACGCGTACGAAACCCATACTTCGTATACAAGCGACGAGCATGCACGGAACAACTGAGGTGCGTGCTGCCGCTCTGAAAGTCGAATGAAATTGACACGCGCTTTGTCTTAGATGGAGTACTTCAACGAAAGAGACGTCCTCGAAACTTTTGAATGTGCTGGCCCTGGGCCCGTCAGCTTCAGGTGCGTGCAAACACTGATCAAAGCTGGCCCTTCTCCGAACTACTCCCAGTTATCGTTTTGTCCACATAACACGAGCAATGCGTGCGCTTCAAACATCGATCAAGACATCTTTGCGCATCGACAAAGAGGGCTTACTCAGTCTTCAGTTCTTAATGCCTGTCTCGGGATCGAGAAGAAATGATACTGGCGGTGGGAATTCGTCAAACTTCATAGAATTCCGCGTGCGTCTCGCCATATCTTTGCCGTCTCCGTTATTGACGGGGCCCATAGTGTTTAGCGCTGGATGAGGAGACAAGTTGAGGCTTCCAGAAACCACCCGTGAGGCGAGAAATTTACGTGTGGAACCAAACTGTATTTGTACGTAGCTGCTCCTCGACGGTGAACCTGCTCTCCCCAAATCTCCTCCCGCAAGCCGACGCTCGAGCCTGTATGTCGGCTACATATATACCAATGGAACCTTGTTGGTTACAAAAGACTAGTTTTTGTCTTGAGTCGAAGTTGGCCGGTTTGTGAGAACGGGGGCTGAGATGGCGGACGTACTAGTACCGTTCAATGAGGTAACAACCACAATCGGCACCAGCGATAAATGCATCCCATGATCGCGCAGGTAGTCTGAGCGCATACGCAAGAGTTTATTTTCTCACATCCGATTTATGAATTCGTGTATGTATAAGGCAATCATTCGCATACATGATCGGTCGCAAAGGTCCAGATGATCAAGCCATCGCAAGAGAGCTGGATTCCCTCGGAATGAACCTACATCTGAAGGGTTTTGGATGGCTAGTATACCGTTACGCGCTCAA